TCCCCAAATGAAAATGCATTTCTTTTTTTTTCAATTTAAGGAGAAGCGCACACTCGATGCGCCTCACAAGGCGCAAGCTCTCAGCGCCTTGTAGGACTCAAGACGGCTACGCTTTGTAAACTGTACCCTGATTTCAACAGCGTTAGTTTGGGTGTTGCAATGTTTGCCCTTTTGGTTCTAAAATCAATTTTGTTGACCTTTTGAAATTTTTGACAATTTTTTTTGTCCATTTGGCTCCGGACTCCAAATAATTTGACATATTTGTTTGGCACGTTTTAGTTATGGGATAGTAACACATGCGGTCCCTTCAAGACATTAATATTCATTTTTGGCCTTTAACTAGCTAAGATTACATGACAAAAATGAAAATAACTTGGTTGTTAGCCTGTTGGTATCTATCTTCAATGGTGATGTATTCAAATATCTTTTAGGTCAAAAAGATACGATATCCCTCAATTTTTTACGCTGTTTTTAGCACTAAAATAATTTATTGTATAATCATTTGTTTCAGTTTATGTAATTTAGGGTTCGTCCATAGTACATACAATTAACATTGAATTAACCAACATGGGTTGTGGTGCATTGGTGGGAGTGTTTCACCCTTAACCAGAGGTCTCGGATTCGAGCCCTGGGTATGGAGAAAATCCTGTTGGAAGCGCCACCCCCGAATGGACCCTGCAGAGCGCAATCCGGATTTAGTCGAAGCTCCAATGTGAGCTCCGGACACCGGGTGGAAAATCAAAAAAAAAAAACATTGAATTAATTTCACAATGTCAGTAACTATGAGGTTGAACGAATTTGCTCCCACCCCAAATGGGCCTTGCAGAGCGTGATCTGAATTTAGTCGGAGCTCCAATGTGGGCTCCGAACACTGGATGGGAAACCAAAAAAAAACATTCACAATGAGAATTGATAATAAACAGAAATATAATTGCAAATCATATGGTTGAGAAATCAGACGACAAATAAAGAAAATACTAAAGACATATTATTAATATGGTTTGGTCAAGCGACCTACATATTGAAAACTAATATTAAAAAATCATAAATATGTTTATGAGAAAATCTCCCCTACATTGTGGATGCTCTTGTTGTTCTTGATATGAGAGGAGAGGTCTTCGATTTATAGGATTCCAAACATTTCCTCTAAGGAAGAAATAACCCAAATATGGAAGAAAATTATATTTTCCTTTCAAAAAGTAAAAACATTTATGGTGATGTTTTGTCTTTTCTTTTAGGAAAATATAAACTTCAAATAAGGTAAGAAAATTAGGGCAAAACCCTAACACAAACGTATGATAAGTAAAACTAATTAAGGTGTTATAGCTTAATTTTACTCGGATCCCTTCATTCAATATTAGTTGTTCATATTTTAAAAACACTTTTCTCAAATTATTTGTCAATTTATAAAATTAAAAGTGAATTAATTATTATTATTTTCTCTTTTTAACCTTATAATAATTAATTCTTTTTAAAAAGTGTAAATAAGTTTGTAAAAAAATTTTAAAAAAAGGTTATGGATAAATTATTTTTTTAAAAAAATAAACAACTAATATGGAGCAGAAATTTTACAATTTAAAACCTAGATCTATAAACATTTTTGTCTAAGGTGTGCCTTTGTGAAGGTCATCATAAAAAAAAAATTCAGACAATTTTTACTGAAGTTTTATATTAGGTAAAGGCAAAATTTCAAGCATTTTACAGAACTTACCTTGTTGCGAAGACTATCTAACTTCAAACATTTTTGACAAAAAATTGTAGCCTTAACAATGATAAACTTCAAACATTTTAAACTAAGGTTATTAAAACCAAGACAAAATTAATGACTGAAGTACATATAAAAGTTATCTAAAACTTTCAGCACTCATTAGAAAGGTCTCTGGTGCGGAATGACTAGAACATTATTTGCATTTTTGGTATCTTAATTATTGTTGTTTGGTTAACTATTTTGTACTTTTGTATGCCTAATAATTCTCATTTCTGCTTTGTTTTTCTTTCTAACATTTCAACTCAAAAACCAAAATGTTGATATTAACATTTGTGGTTGTTCAGGGTATAATAATTACGAAAAAAAATATTCTCTTTGAAAGATGTTTCTCAAGAAAATAAAATTCTTATACACTACGTACAAAAAGTGAGATTGAAGATAAAGTGTTCGGTGGGAAAATATCAAATACATCCAAAATCATTAAATCTCTAAGCAGCCATGTGGTGTTTATCCAAAATATCATTAAGATTTACGGGACCATTGAGTACGTGTGATTCACAATGTACATATAAAAAATTATTATGTCTCAATCGCTAATTAATGGGTTTAAATATATCTTATTAATCAATTAACACATCTCATAAGTTTTGCTAAGTTTCATTTTTAAAAAAATATGTTTTATTTTTATGTACTATTTTTTTAATTTTGTGATTACATATTACATTTTAAATTTTATGTATTTTTTGTAGGATTAGAAGAAAGGTAAAAACAATACTTTTGCAAGATTAGGGAAAAAAATAAGATATTATTTATTTTTGTGGTGAATTTTTCCTATGTAGTTATGTAATTTGTAAACTAATTATTAAAAAATAAGAAAAATCAACGATTGATGACGAAAAGTACATTAATTATGGACATCTTAATGAAACTCTTCACAGTAAATTTGCGCAAACAAAAAGTAATTAACAACTTAAATATCTAAAAATCACATTAAAATTTAATCAACTTTCTAAATTCTATCTATATCATATAAATTAAAATAAAAAAATATTAAGATATTGAGCTCGTGCTAGCACGGACTCCTTGTACTAGTATATAGTTAACCAAGAGCCTATTTAATTTCGCTTTAACTTATGATGTATAAATTAAAATATTATAAGGTAGAATATAATTATAAGCGTCATAAATTACAATAATATAAGTTAGAATTTAATTATAAGTTAGAATATGTTTGAATAACTTATTTTAAGTTCTTTCAAATTTAATAAAAAAGAACTTTTAAGGATGATCTTGTAAAAGCTACAAAAATTCGAGTTTCATGACTATCCACAATTTTATTAACTTTCTTACCTATAAAAATTAATGTGACCGTTATTTCTCAACTTCATTACTATATAATTGAAGTTCAGAAAATAAAAATGGGAACTTTACTACTAAGATTTAGCTATGAATTTAAAAGCTAGTCAGGGCTAATATCTAGTAATAGCTACAAAAGTTCGAACTTATGACTATCCACGAAATCATAAAATTCCTTAACTACAAAAATTAAATTGACAATGTTAATTTCTCAACTTTTTTACTACAATAAAAATTGAGAAAATAAAACTGGGAACTTTATGTAGTTTTGCAATGGAATATTTAATTATTATTTTAAGTTGAGTTTCGAATTTACAAGAAAAAAATAAAATAAAATATATATATATAGTTGTTTGACGCAAACTTTGACAGTGGGAGGGATGAATATAGGACCCATAACCATAATAAAATTATTTGAAAACAAAATCTTATAGCTATAGCCTATATATATAAATAAATATTTTTGCTTCAAAGTTATAAAAAAAAAGGTACTATATATAAAAATTAACATAGATTGAATAAATAGAACATTAACCTTCCCATTTTCAATTCTTTGTGATCATTATTTATTTGTTAAAAATAAAAAAAATATGTTATGTACTACTTATTTTCTTTAGGTTATTATAACCTAAAATAAAAGGTCATTTTTTGTTTGTCAAAAATGCCCTTAGCAGCTCTATAAATTGGAGATAGAGTCATAGCAAGTAAAACACACAAACAAATTAAAGATGAAGAAGTGTATTAGTACTATTTTGAGTTTCCTATTGGTTTCAAGTTTGGTTGCCTTTTCTCATGAATTTTCCATTTCTGATAATAATGGGAATGTTGTATTCCCTCCCGTGCTGGACATGGAGGGCGAACCACTCAAGATAAACGAGGAGTACTCCGTTATCAGTATTCCCTATGGCGGTGGAAACATATACTTAACTGATCTTGGAAACACCAAATGCCCAAATGGCGTTGTGCAGGACAGTTCTGGTGAATTTGATAACAGCACACCTCTGTTGTTTTATACTATGAAACTTGGAAGTCATTTCGTTTATGAAAATCAAGATGTTAGTATAAAGTTCTCAACTTCTTCTTCTTCAACTAAGTCATGTGTTAACGAAACTGTTTGGAAAGTTGGTTATTCCATCGTAGGGCCGACGCATTCACCACTTAGGTTTGTTATAACTGGTGGTACCTTAGGATTTCCAGGGCCTAATAACATAGAGAACTGGTTCAAGATTGAGAAATATGAGACGGGGAGACCTTATTCTTACAAGTTAAGGTATTGTCCTAGTCAATATATTTGTCCAACATGTAACTTTGATTGTGCAGATGTCGGATTGACCTACAATAGTGGTTACTACCGTCTGGCTCTCAATAACAAGCCTTATCCCTTTGGCTTCACCAAAGTAAACAAGAATGATGCATAGTTAATTATCTATGCTTATTATAACCTAGCTCGATCGCTTTCTAAAATAATGTGGAGCATGCTTCTAGCCCACTCTATGTAATATTTATGCTTATGATGAATAAAAAAGCTAGGTTCTTTATTTATTAATTTCTGCTTTCAAACAAATATGTTGTTATCTCCTGTATTCAGGTTAGTCAAAAATACAGAAACAGAAAAAAGATGAAATAGACAGAATGAATTTTTTAATCCGAGTCCACAGAAACCACTGTGTTTCCTTAAGAAATTTAATCCCCTCACTGTATCCGAGGCTGCAGATTAATCCCTCCCAAGATAAAACGGATTAACCTGTTAAAGAAGTAGCGGTACCTCAAACTTTAATAACTTCAGCGAACGCAAGAACAACAACAAGAGCACACACAGACTTAGTCGATCGACAATTTTATTTATGCAAGAAAATGAATGCAGAGAGGAAAAATTTTCAGTGTTTTAAAAAACGAAAAAGACCTCTTATTTATAGCCATTTGCAGCAAGGAACGCGTCTGTTCAGAAAAATCTATCCAGACCCGTTTCTTCCAGAACATTGTGTCTTTTGGGAAAATAACGATTTTTCGGAAGGATTACCGTTTGGGAAAAGTAACGACCTTTCGGAAAGTAACAACTTTTCGGAAGGATTACCGTTACATGTGAATTTCAATAAATTCAGTTGCGCCAAATTAAATCTGTTAGTTAACTAACTTTCTGAATTAATTTATAAGAGAAAGGAAATGATTTAACAAAATTTATTAAATAAATTTTGTCCAAAAAATATTATCAATCAATTGCCAAAGCCGAGCGAGCGACGACGATGTCGCGAGGGGCACCTTCTTCTTAACCCTTTAAGAACTAAAGGAAGTGTTTCCTAATATAAGGACAACGATTTTCTCTCTTCTACCAATATGGTAAAAATGACTATTCATTTGCACTTTTGCAATGATTTTTCATTTTCCCTCCAAATTGGTTCCCCCATTTTTATTGGTTCTTCCACTTTCCATTTTCTCTTTTTATTTCCCATTCACACCTTACTAAACCCAACATATGTTTTAGTAATTAATAAGTGCTACGTATTAATTACTTATGGATAATCCCATCCGGTACCATCACGACATTAATATTCATTATTGATCAGTTTGCATTGGAGTTACGACTAAATCCAAGTTGTAATATGCATTGTTATTGATTACGTGATGTGGATTTCATGGATAAGGTCCTTTTATGTTTAATCAATTGCATATTAATTTTAATTAGACATGCCCAGTAGACTTAAATTAGGTTTAAGGATGGAAAAAAGAAAAAGCTCAAGAAATACTATTGTAATGAATGCAAATGTGTATTATATGTTGCTTTGACTAGGAGTTAATTTTATCGTATATTGAATTGAAGTAGAAGTTTCATTGTTTATTGTTGTTGTAGAAATTCATTTGTATAACAATTTTCCAATATCCCCGAGGATATATTATTTTTATTATATATGTTTTCAATCAATCACTCTGTCTCTTCGATATCACCAAGTTATTTCATTACTAATGCAACTACAATCAAAACACAATCATCATTAAGTTCAAGTTACTGGATTAAAATAATATTAATTTAATTTATTCGGTATGAAAATTATTATTTTTTCCAATAATATATGAGAAAAACATGTCATTATGTTTCAAATACGTGATCAATTCATTTAATTATTTTTAAGTTTTAACCACAACAAAGATAGTAAAATAAAGTTTTTTTTTATTTAATCAGAATGAAATAGAAAGAAACTTAATACATTGAAAGAAATAAAAAAATTTAAGAAACCAAAACTTTAAGTGCTAGAAAAATTCAAGGATAACAAGATTTAAGAAACCAAAACTTCAAAATGAGGGGGCCTTCGGAACCAAAAGGGCAACAAAATTTTTCAAAAATTTCAAAAGGGCAACTGAATTATTTATGAAATCAAAAGGGTAACAATTTGTAACGGCGTCTCAAATAGAGTTTCTGCCGCAAGGCACAGAAACCCATGAGCCTTACAAGGCGCAACAACTTTTAGCCTTGTAAGGCTCAACCGCCATGAGCCTTACAAGGCGCAAGGCTATTTAAAAAAAAAAAAAATCTGAAAAGATTATATTTATTTGGCTTAATTAAATATATAAATGTTACAGTAGTTATTATAACTAGTAAATATGGAACAAGATCCATGTCCTATGAGCCTATGACTAATAATATATTTCCTAAGTCTGTCGGTTCTGATTAATTAATGTACACATTTTTCTTTGATGATTCAAGTAATTTATTATATATTTGTAATCAAATCAGGTAAAAGGTGTTTAATTTAGAACTAAAATGCAATACCAAATATCGGAAAAGATTAATCATGGACTTTTTTTTTATTGACAAAAGGATAAAATTTACCATTAAATGGACTATTTATTTATGACCTTCTTTTATAGAGTGCTTTTTAGGCTCAATATTCGTATTGAGATTCCGCATCTGAGTTCAATTTTTTTTTAAAAACTCATGTTAAAGGTATAAAATATTATTTATTAAAAAGTGACTTCGTTGTTATAATTCGAACCTAAACCTCACTACGAAATTTATCATTTTATCACCATAACTTTTGATGAAACTATATATTTATACTTTGTTTGGATGGCTGTTACATGTCATTTTATAATATATTATATTATGTTATATTAAATTGTATCTTTTTCGATAATTACATAATATCAAAAAAAATTAAAAAGATAAACACACCAGAAAAATAGAGTACGGAGTAGATTTACTATAAAAAGAAAGAGTAAATAATAAAATACAATTATTAAATAGTAAGTGAAACAAAATAAAAAATATATATATTATGACCATACATTCATACTAAATCAACCATTACACAAAATAAAAAATCACATTATTACCTAATAATAAATTTAATGATATAAATTAAATTTAACTAATCATCAAAATAAACATTATATTTAAGTAAACGACACATCCAAACATTCTTTAGAAAACCAAGCTTAAAAAAGTGTCATAAGAACTATATAGCTTCACCCCTAATATGCATACGTGTGTTGAAAATGTGCATTACTTACAATATACAATTTATTTATTTTAAATTTTTTTGCATTATCAAATTAAGCTTACGGTCAATAGAAATCCTATTTTGATAACTCAAAAAGGCATAATTTTTTTTTAAAAAATAACCGACTAAAATACATTGTATTTTTGTAAAAAAGGTACTGCATTTTAGATAAATTTAAAGTTGGATGATTTAACATCTCAACAAAATAGTCAGATTTTTTTATTTATCTAACAAAAAAATGGGCGGTCGAGTTTGCAAACGTGTAGCCTTAAGGACCGTACACCATAAAAACTTTTTTATTTGAAAAAAATAGCCTGCCTTGCGCCTTGTAAGGCTCACGCCAGCTGAGCTTTACAAGGCTAAAAGTTGTTGCATCGCTCATGGGTTTTTGTATCTTGCGGCAAAAACTCTAATTTAGACGTCATTATAAATTATTGTCATTTTGGTTTCATATATAATTTAGTTATCTTTTTGAAATTTTTGAAAAAAAATTATTACCCTTTTAGTTCTGAACTCCGTTTTAGTTATGGGATAGTAACACGTGCGGTCCCGTCAAGACATTATATTCATTTTTGGCTTTAACAAGCTAAGATTACATGACGAAAATGAAAATAACTTGGTTGTTAGCCTGTTGGTATTTATCTTCAATGGTGGATATATATTAGTATAGTATTCAAATATCTTTTAGGCCAAAAAGATACGATGTTCCTCAATTTTAATTAACCATGTTCGTTAGTTTCAGCCCTTTACGCTATTTTTAGTACTAAATTAATTTTATTGTATAATCTTTTGTTTCAATTTATGTAATTTAGGGTTTGTCCATAGTATGAACAATTGACATTGAATTAATTTCACAATGTTAATAATGGTGAAGTTGAACGAATTTAAAAACTGAGAGGACATATATTGTTTATGAACTCTCAAATTTAAAAGTTGAGAATAGATGATAGACAAAAATATTAAAAACACTTCTGAATTTGATATGAATTATTAATTTTATTTTCGAACTATTGATAGCTTTAAAAACACCTCTCTACTTCACTATTTTAATAGAATCACTTTATTGGTTATAACTATGGTCTAATAATGGTCCCATCGGCACATTAGTATATAATATATATCCATTATTGGCCTGCAACAGTGCAACTCCAAGTAGAGTTGATGATAGGAACGGAACATTTGGCTACTTAATTATTCTTTAATTTCTTTGATGTTTAGTGTTCATTCAATATTAGTCGTTCATATTTTAAAAATATATGTTTTTTAAATTATTTGTCAATTTATAAAATCAGGAGAGAATTAATTATTATTTTCTCTTTTTATCCTTATAATAATTAATTCTTTTTAAAAACTGTAAATAAGTTTGTAAAGTTTTTTTTTAAAAAAATTATGGGTAAATTATTTTTTTAAAAGATGAACAACTAATATGGAACAGAAATTTTACAACTTAAAACCTAGACCTATAAACATATTTGTCTAAGGTGTGCCTTTGTGAAGGTCATCATAAAAAAAAAATTCAGACAATTTTTATTGAAGTTGTAAATTAGATAAAGACAAAATTTCAAGCATTTTACAGAACTTTTACCTTCAAACATTTTTAACTAAGGTTATTAAAACCAAGACAAAATGACTGAAGTACATATAAAAGTTATCTAAAAACTTTCAGCACAAAATCATGACTAGAAAATTATTTGCATTTTTGGTATCTTAATTATTGTTGTTTGGTTAACTATTTTGTACTTTTATATGCCTAATAGTTTTCATTTCTTTTTTGTTCTTCTTTCTAAACATTTCAACTCAATTAAAACCAAAATGTTGATATTAACATTTGTGGTTGTTTAGGGTATATTCGTTATGAAAGAAAATATTCTTTTTGAAAGATGTTTCTCAAGAAAATAAAATTTTTATGTGTTTAGTAGGTAAATAAAAAATATTTATATATAATCTAGATAAATATATTAAAACACACAATGATAAAAATAAAAGTGTGGGATGGTGAAGATAGACACTACAAGAAGTGAGACTGAAGATAAGGTGTTCGGTGGGAAAATATCAAATACATCCAAAATAATTAAATCTCTAAGCAGTCAGGTGGCTTTTATCCAAAATACGATTAAGATTTACGGGACCATTGAGTACGTGTGATTCACAATGTACATATTAAAAATAATTACGTCTCAATCGCTTATTAATAGGTTTAATTTGAATTTGGTTTGTTCCGTACATTTAACTTTTCTATAGATAACCCAACCCGTATAACTATAACCGGCATGGTTAAAAGCCGCATTATTGTTATGAGATCAAAAGTGCTTATTTTGAAAAAAATAAATATTTTATTGAAAAATTAAGATGTTTAACAAATCATATCTTCACAAGCCATTCGTTCAATGATAGGATCTGGTGGATACAGTCGAAGTGATTCTTTAATAACCATGTTTAACTGCATCCAAATTTTACAAACAAATAATGTTAGACTACTTTTATAATCAAAGCATATAAGTTCATCTTTATTCATTTGTTAATGCCTTAATTTTGCTTTCCCCCCTCAAGTTTATCAAAACAAACTCTCTACGGCTTAGTATTAAACTTGAAAATTACACATTTTCATTTTTTTTATACGCTGGTAGTGCTGAAAAGATGAAGTATAAAGTGCTTTATTTTCAGTGATATGAGCTGCATTCACCTGTTTCCTTTCATCATTACGGCGATTGGCAACTTGACTAATATATTTTAGTATGCATTTGATCATGAAAATTAAATATATTTATATTCACTTTATTCTTTTTTAGTTGTATGACTTTTTTTTAGAGTTAAACAATAAGAACTTTGACAATTTTTTACGATGTATTTTTTCATCATATTGATATGCAAAAAATTACAATTTATAGTACTTTTTGTATAGCTTTTAAATATATATCTAAATTTTTAATTTAAAATATCTTTAATGTAATCTAATTAAAATTGAAAAATAATTCAAAATGATTTTTGAAAAGTGCAGCATGACAACTAAAAGGGGACGGAGGGAGTATTATTTAAAATTTAAAATTGGAGTTAGAGTTGTATTTGATTAAGATCGGATATGATCACTTTTTAAAGAATTATTTTGAACGTACCTACCTAATTAATAATAATGACTTTAGGACCAACATGGGTTGTGGTGCACTGGTGGGAGTGCTTCACCCTTAACCAGAGGTCTCGGGTTCGAGCCCTGGGTATGGAGAAAATCCTGTTGGGAGTGTCACCTTCTAATGGGCCTTGCAGAGCCCGATCCGAATTTAGTCGAAGATCAGATCTACAATCGTATGAAACAAACTTGAATCAACAATTTATCAAAATAACAATAAATTTAACAAACTCATTTAACATTATTTTAATTTTATTGAATGTACATATGATTGAAGTGTATAAAAATTGACTAAAACTTCAGTTATATGTATTTGAAGTGCAATTTTTATTTTGCCTAATTATTCTTGAGTTTCAACACTCAATTTACTCAAATTCAAAACTAAGTTCTATATATCATATAACGCAAATCCTATCCTTCAATTATTAATTTGTCAAAAAAAAGAATCTAAAAAAAAAATCATTTTTCATAATAATGATTTGCCATTATTTTTAAGATCCATTCTTGATAGGTAACAAAATAATCAGTGGTATAAATCTCGATCGTACTTCAGTGACATATTTTACTTGTGGAATAATTCCATGCCAGGTAGCACATTAATATCAATTTTTAGAATTATTAGCCTGTTATTTGTATTCAGTGGTGAATATAAATTATTAAAATGAAGCAAAACAAATGTTATTTAATTAAAATTATATAAAATGAACCATAAATTCAAACACATGTCATTCATATATTAGGTTAGTGTATACATTATATACGGATAATTTTTTTTATCCTTAATAATTATGTACATGAGTATGGTAAGTAAAATTAGGTGTTGCAACTTAATTTTATTAGTGCAATAATCCCATGAATGGTTCTCCACTAGATGTCAAGTTTCAAGAGTCCTTTAAGCACAATGGACAATATTCTCAAGTAATATTTATTAATTTTACCAACTTCTCTAGTTAAAGCCACATTAAATAATAAATATCCTACAAATTGAATTATTGGCCGTTTTTTATTTTTACTCAAAATTTATTATTTAAGATTTATTTTGGAGACAAATAATAAATGTCTTTATTTAATTTGATACTTTACATATTATTCAGTGTAACACATATTATGTACTATATATTTTTGTTGATAGTAAAAAAAAAAAAGTGTTCAGAGTGACTTAATATTGAAGCTTGATATTAGTTATTTAAAATGGATAAAACTTATTTGAGGTGTCTAAGGCGGTAGTAGGTATTCATTTTTTGTTTGTCAAAAATGCCCTTAGCAGGTCTATAAATTGGACATAGACTCATAGCAAGCACAACACACAAAGAAAGATGAAGTCGATTAATATTTTGAGTTTCCTCTTGCTTTCAAGTACCTCTCTTTGGTTGCCTTTGCTCGATCTTTCACTTCTGAAAATCCAATTGTCCTCCCCACAACTTGTCATGATGATGATAATCTTGTACTCCCTGAAGTTTATGACCAAGATGGCAATCCGCTGAGGATTGGTGAGAGGTACATTATTAACAATCCTCTCCTCGGGGCCGGAGCCGTATACTTGTACAATATTGGAAACCTTCAATGCCCAAACGCCATGTTGCAGCACATGTCGATTCCCCAATTTTTGGGAGAAGGCACGCCCGTCATGTTCGTTCGTAAGTCGGAGTCGGATTATGGTGATGTGGTGCGTATAATGACTGGTGTTTATATCAAGTTCTTTGTTAAAACAACAAAGTTGTGTGTTGACCAAACTGGTGGTAAGGTAGGAAATGAAAACGACATCTTCAAAATTAGGAAAACTGACTTGGTGACACCAGGAGGTTCCAAAAATGTATACAAGTTACTGCATTGTCCCTCTCATCTTCAGTGCAAAAATATCGGCGGCAACTTTAAAAATGGATATCCTCGTCTGGTGACTGTCGATGACGATAAGGAATTTATTCCATTTGTGTTCATCAAGGCGTAGAATGCTAATTAGCTGGCTAGCTTGCAGCTTTCTAAATAAAGTGGATATATCCTTCTATCGCTCCATGTAAATTAATGTATGCTTATCAATAAATAAACAAGCTAGCAATTAGCCTATTACCTTACCTTACCTTCTTCATTCAAAAATACATAAATTTCTTTAGTTTGTGGTTTCTTTTTAAGTTAGGGTTACTTTTGTATTTGTTGTTAATCAAGGTCTCGATATCGTTACTTGTTACACAATTAATAGTAATACAAAAGGAGATCGCATCATCATATATATAAGGGAAAAAAACCTAGGAGTTTAGATGATCGAGTAGGAAAATGATCTGCCCAAAGTAATATTGGGATGAGACGAGCTATGAGTTTAGATACTAACTAGTAATGAATTATATTATTTTAGTTATCATCATCCACAACAAGGATTTCACGATTGCTATCTTGAATTAGACTAAAAAATGGTGGTTGATATGGTAAGGAATGGACAAGCCTCAATTGAAGATCAAAGGTGTTGTGGAAGACATCTTACAAGTTGTTGCAAAGATCAATTATGAAGTAAATCATTGTCATAGAGAAGTTAACCAAATTGCAGATGCATTAGCTAAACACGTTATTTCTAATGAAGCTCATATGTATCATGACTGGAGGGATATTCCTAAGCTAACAGTTGGCTCATATCAATTAGACCAAATGCAAATGCCTAGTATTAGAAAAGTTAACTGATGAATGATGATAAGAAAAGGGCCCGATTATATTCAAATCGAAAAATTGAATCGAACTGAACTGAATTTATTTTAGTTCGGTTTTGGTGTCACGATCCAAGCCTACACCCTGGACGTGACCGGCACTCAAGAACCATTGTTGGTCCCCAAGCGAACCCTCATCCTTGGTTGACTACAAGCGGAAGACAAACTTAAGCATGCAAAAGATTAAAAACTGAATAAAAATTCATGAAACTTAAATACAAAGCTTTAAATCAATACAAAACTATGAATAATATAATATATTCAACTCTCCCGAAAATAAGCAACTTAAGTCTTTAAAACATTTAACAAAATAAATTAACAGACTTTTGAAACTCTATTGTATATCTATGAAGCCTCTAAATGACAAAGATGGAAGTCAGGACAAGATCCACGACATCCTAACAACTGATAAGTAAATGAAATCCTCTGAAAGCAAGAAGGCTCACCATAGCTAACTCGAACTCCATGTGGTATCAACGAAGCTCCTGTTTGTAATACCCCAAAAAAAATTTCGAACTGAGACTTGAACCATCCTTCGTTGTGAGTAGGATTTTACCGAGGAATTAAAATTTCTTAAGTGTTAAGGTCACTAGATATAGCACCTTGAGTTCCAAAAAGAATTAAATTGGAAATAGCAAAATCTGAAATTTTGCAAGTTAAGCTAAGTATGAGTTTTGGGTTGACTTCAAACGATCATAACTCCTAGATCAGGATGATTTAGGTGTTCTATTAGATTCCATAGGAAATATCTTTGAATTATCTTTCCAACGCCGCTGAGTTTGCTAAGTTTCGAGGTCGGATGAGTGAGATATGGCCTTTTGAAGATAGGTTGTTCAGTTAAGGAAAATTAGCCGAAAATAGAGAGGGGTATTTTGGTATTTTCCTTACCCAATCAGATTTAATTCATTTTTAGTAATATTTTAAGGGTCTAATACTATTAGGTTCAGTTTTATAATCCTAAAAATTAGCCTAGGGTTTTAGTTGAGAGTTCAAGAAGAGAAAAGAAGAAAA